TAATCCTGATATCAAAATTTTGGATTATCATATGTGTGACATTAGCCGTTATATTCTAGTAAGTATTTAGTCATGAATAAAATGTATTAGATAGTCATAATCAGAAGTCGCAAACGCTGGCCATCTATTATGTGCCATTTATTAGACCTGTTCATTCTAATTTCAAACACGAACAATAGCAAAATAGCATAGTAATTATTTTGCAATACATCTATAAAACTATTACTGTATATAGATTTTGTTTTTTTTAATCTCATTTTTCTTTAGTAGTTTTCTAAACCATGCTACCAACACTCATGATAGGTCACTGTCCGCATATCGAAATTATTATGTCTATTCGTATTCGTTTCACGACTTAGAAATACTAAAAAATTCCTATGAGAAGTTGACCGAAAACCGATTCTGTCTGATCGAACTGATTTTCAATGCATATTATGTTTCTCTATTTTGAGAAAAAGATTAGGACGTTAATAAGCATCCTCCGTTCCGAAACGGTTAAATCAATCTTAATATTCAACGAAACTAAATAATACAGCCCCATAATAATTCAAATTAAAGATATATGTTATTAATACCTCACAAATCAATTATTATTACTGAATCTATTTTTCTTACTTCAATTAATTCATTGCTGATCCTGTTTGAGACAAACTTTGTTTTTTATAAACTGCGTAACAGGCAACACCCCTTTAAAAGACATTCAGAATTTACTTTCGTAGAGGATACATCCTCTCTTTTCGATCGAAAAATCAATTACTAGTTGATCATAATGGTAAAATACGGTAAAACAAGATATTTTAGAGATGACAAAATTTGTCTCGATCTATAGTATATTAGAAAAACTGTTTTACAAGTTGATGTTAGTCTCTTTCTATGCGGTTTTATATTTGTTAAAGTCCTAAATGCATACAAACTATTTACGGCAGTTAGGAGATCAAGTAGAATATGCAGAATATTTTGTACAGGTTGAATAATTGCATGATGTTATAAAATAACAAAGAGATAGAAAAACTCAAAGCTAGAAAATTGTGTGAACTCGAACACACTATAGTATCTTTTTTTCCACAATTTTTCTTTTATTGTGTAGCTTTTGAAAATAAATTGATAAAATGTGGAACGTCATTTTCTTGAAAATTAACAGAGTACTAGATTTGCAAGCTGTAAACGTGTTGTTTTACGGAACATTACTAATAAACAAAGAATTATAGAATTTTTTATAATAATCATTGTGAAATTGTTTTTTTTTCACATCATAAAACATGAATGTTGTCACTATAATTCTCTTACACTTCGTCCAACTGGCTAAAAAATTAACTACAGATTTGTGAAAAATATTTTCCATCGATGTATTCATTTGCTTTTGTTGTAATTGTCGATTTTTATTAATTTGTTTTTAATTTGTTGATATTGAATGTTTTGGTTGAAAATTAAGTAATTAAATACTATCTTCAAGAGAATATTCTCAAACATCAAATGTTCGTCCTTTAACTTTTGTTGTTTAAGAATCAAAAAATACTGACGAAATAAATTTACAACAAATAAATAAATTCTTTTCTACGTAAAATATTTTACCACGTTAAACGTTCGAATAATTTGTAATAGAGGATAAAGTTCAAGCATATCACGAAGTAATATATTTTGCTCAAAGTAGAAGTAGAAGTACAAACTTTTGTGTTACTCGTGGCCAAATCGTCTATATTTCTGTAGGCAAACAATTTCTTTCTTATTATAAACTAATCAACTAAAATGTTTAATAGATGATGATGATGATGATTTATAGTAAAAAGCGTACTTTTAGATTTCATATTTTTCTAGCAACTATCGTCAAAAATTTGAGTTCATCATTCGATCGAGTTATATCTGCCTCACAGTATTGTTGAAGTGGCTCAGTAAATGGAACGAATCATTTTGAAAAGACTTGAATTGACTGCTAACTTCCCTTACATTATTGTGAAGCCCTAATACTCTTTTAATCCTGTATGACGGTGGGAAAAAACAAAGTAAAGCCATGGTATAGAACACATTTTTTCCAATCTTTGATTCATTCTCTCTTTCTGTTCTTCAAGCTGTTCGATAGATGAATGATAGAACAAGCAAAACACAGGTAATATTTTTATGTGAAAAAACCCAAGGAATCTCAATAATATCTGATCACATGTTATTTAATGTAAACGGATGAATGCGCACAAGCCAAACTTATTTAACGATGTATATATAAGCCATGTGATGCTTTTATCTCTTGCATACAACAACATTAATACATTACAGTGGTATACGTGTCGTCAACACACAATATTTCACACTAATACAGCAAGTAAACGTAAGTTTTTTGAAATTGTATTTTCTTCAGAAGGCCTTGTTGATCATCAGTATTCAGTGGATTTTTCTATCCTTAAATGGTATCACTAAGCTTGTATAGTATTTTTTCGCATCATAATAATTATTTTCCTGCTGACAAAAATGTTTCGAAGTTCTGTATGAAATGAATCGAAGATATTCATTACTGTAAAACCATGTTTCTCACGAAGCATTTGTAGTAAGAATTGTTAATACGTTTTGTGAGTTCCAACGTAGAAAAAAACTGTTTTAGAATTGTATTCTTTTACCATTCAAAAAGGTTTGACCTCGCTGAAAATTAGATATGATGTTGGATAGAAAATAAATGCTTCAGGAAATTTTCGTAGAAGAGATTCTCTTCAACTGAGTTTTGGCAAAGAATATGCTTAGGATATTGTCTTCAGAGCGAATAATTTTAATTGCATAATGACTCTTTTTGTGATATCAACAAAATTCGAGCCGGTAGGTCTTGAAAAAATCGTATTCTTTCTAAAATGCCTCTATGGTTAGGACTATTTAGAAAATGTTCAAGTCATAATGACGAAGTGGAATAATAGAGTTACTTGATGCTTGCGTTATCTAAAATCCTAGGATGAAGATAAAAATCATAAGAAATTCTTCAAAAAAAGAAGATGAGCACATAGATCTGAAAAACGGATGATTTCGTTGAAATATCTCTAGCTCTGAAATTTTGCTCTGTATTTTTCGGTCACAGCGAACGATTAGAAAAGTAAAGCAGTTTAATTTTCCTGTGGTCCCATAGCACACTCATAGTAATAGAAAATAATGGTGCTCAAGCATAAATGACTTCCTAGCTTTTTGCTTGATATCTTTCGAAAAAATATGAGCAACTTGTCATAGAATTTTTTCCTGGAGTATGATTTTGATTTGTGAAAACGCCACTAAACGATACTATGCAAGACTAGATGCATTCTGAAACAGTGCTACTTGAAATAGTCTATGTGTTAATAGTAAGGTAAAGCATGTACGATAAGTACTAGGTTTTTGAAAACTAAATGTTCTACGTAGCATCTTTCACATGCTGCATGAGTACCAGCAAAAGCTGTGAGCCAGTATTAATATAAACACCTCGAAAGTTATTACTGATAGACTATTGTAGTATTACTATGGTAAGTTTTTCCTTTTATATCTGCATTGACTATTTGTGTAGGACTTTGTAGAGAATTGAATGCTGAAAGTTTTTGGAAAAAATTCGCTCCAAAAAAAACAATAAAAAGTGACAGACATGTGTAACAGGAGGCACATTTTCATGCTCATTCATTTTAAATTCAAATTTTCATGCAAAACAAATTTAAGTTTTTTATAATATATTGCTAGAGTTAATAAATGTTTTTAAATGTAAATTGATCGCTCCTATTGTTACAATTCATGACTTCAAATAATAAGAAATAAGAAAAGAAGCTGATATGATATGTTAAAATGCGATCATTACAATAAAAATTTCTGTATAAAAGAGCCGTGCTTCTTTCATGTTGTTTTCCAATGATACTAAAATACTTATAAACATACATTTGATAGCACGATTTCCAGATAAAAGGTTGCTCTTTTTCCTAGAGACAACCAAACAAATTTAAATTCAACTTAAATTAATTTAAATATAATTGAAGTTAATTTAAACTTCCATGTAAAATAAGTTTAAATTTATTTCTAGATTTCATATAGCCCCTTTATATAGAAAAATAGACAATTCCATGGGACAATCTTGAAGGTTGGCAATCAGCTCCTGCTGTTTCAAATGATATTATTTGTGCAACATATAGAGCTCTATAATGTACAATTTTTGTGAATGTTTTACTTCGAAACTCTTTTTTTTGTAGCATAGAGTTGAAACCACTGGAATACCACGTAGTCAAGAAAAACCTAATCCTAAAAAAGATACAATTTTTAAGTATGAAGAAAGCAACGAAGAAAACTATTGACTAAAGAGAATTAAAGAGCATCTATAACTGTATTGAATTGAGTTTAACAGAAAAATTTGAGGAAAACTTGACGTCTTGTATACTATTCGATGCGACACAAATCGCTGTACAAAACCACATATGATATCCTGATTCCAGATGGATCACTAAATCTGACAAGATCCTTTCAAATGATTTTCTTTTAATTTTATAGGCATCCATCATTTTTGGAGCCATTCTTTTTTTAAGATTGCTAACGAAGGTCTTCTTTATTAAATAATGAATTATACTACGTGATGTTCACTGATTTACCAACAGGTTGAAGTTGGTTTTCACTCGAATAAAAGCTCATAGAAGAATAAAAAATAGCTATAAAAACACTATTCGAGATTGTCTAGAAAGATCTATATATTTGACGCTATGATTCCATTGGCTGTTACCCAATGAAGAATAGTATATGGGTAAAACCTTTCATAGCATTTTTAGACGATTTTATGCTACATATAATAAGGGGTGAGAATTCGAAAGTTGCTTCGTATTGCCTACTAAAAGGAAAGGAAGAAAAAATCTTTTAAATCTAGACTCTGTAATGATAATTCATCATTGAAAATAAATGTTTATGAAATTTATTTTGTTTAGAGATTATTTGTATATCTTGCAATAGCACTTAATACGCGACAACCAGACGGTAACAACGCAAATCACTTAATTGGTCAAAAGTGTGCACAAATACAAAGGTGAACAATGCAGTCCCATGTGGATGAGGTATGTAACGCTTAGTGCTACATGAAAAATCAACTTTTGCACAGAAAGATGAAAAATAAAGACAATAGGGAAGAATTTTTTTAAAAGCAGTTAGTTAGTAATGATCAACTAGTGTTTTTTGAACAAGAGCAGCTGTACTTTATAGAGAAATTGACGTCTATTGTGCAAGAGTGCCAAGATTGATTGCTGCTGTTTGAACTGCTCAGGCGCGAATATTGTGCTTAGTATACACAAACAGCTCTGGTAGTTACTGAAAATACTCTATAGAACATAGAATATCAAGTTTTTCTTTCAGCGAGTAGCCTTATACATTAATCGTTCATACCCTTTTCGTTCCTTTCCAAACATTCGTGGACATAATTTTTCTTCGAATAATCTTTTCAAGAAATCCATAATCTTGGCTGCGGAGCTCAATACAAAAATTGAAAAGTGTTTTGACCACATATATTTATAAATAAAATAGCTTGTGAAAAGTGAATGATTCTAAACCATGAAATATGCTTTGTATTACATAATTGGGATGATTCTTAATTCAAAATATTGGAAAACATCTCTAGAAGAAAACAATTAGATATTTTCATCATAAAATTTATATCATTAGTGCTTTGAGATGACTTTTGGTTTCTTATTTCATTGAAAAGTGGTCGAGAACAATTGCAGCTGTGATATCGATGATTAACAGTTCATTCGCTCTCTATATATGCATGCTTTTTAAGAGCAGTCAGTAAACTGTAAGAAAAAACGTTCAAAACAACATATAAGGAGCAAACTTTGTATTGAGCTGTAGTCAATGTAAATTTTCTGTTAGCAACTATGATTCTTTACGGCATTATCGTCTATTTGTGTAGCATAACTCGAACATGTTACCTGCTACGACTTCCATGGGAGAAAAAGCTGACTCCACGACTTCACTGACTACGACTAACTCCAGTGACTCTAACTGACTCCATTGACTCCAACTCAATGAAAAAAACAGCTGATTCTGGGGCATTTGAGTAACTCGTAGTCAATGGAGTCAATTGGAGTCAGCTTTTTCCGCCTTGCGGCAAAGTTTTGTTCCATTCGAACTTTTGGAATCCTGCACCCGATTTTTACTCAAGCTAGCTTTTATTCGAAGACATCAAAACAATTAGTGCTATGTATTAAGATTTACAAATGAGCTTCTCACTAAAAATATAATTATGATTCTAAATATTTCCTCAAAACTTAGTTGAAAACTGATATCATCATAATATAGAGTACATAAATCTGCCCATCTCAAATCTTTCATTGATTTTGCAGGAAGCGAATATAGCTTCACACGCGCATTTCATTATACCATGAATACCTAAGATACTAAATAGCCTTCAGATTAAACATCTGCCGCACATAGCCCAGCAGGATTCATCGCAGCTTTTCACTTATCAACATACTTTCAAGTTCTTGTTAGCAACAACCCTCACGTTTCGATCTCATACAAATAGCCTAAAATTTTGATTCAATTCAATATTTGTTATACGAAAATCAGGAAATGTCACGAAGTGACAAGTATCTAGTTTGATTTTATGTGAAACTTTCTTATAAATGACTCTGTTGTTTATCAATAACACCTCTATTTGTCAAAAGAAACTCATATGTTGATGGATCACAACTATTTTCACATCGATTGCTAACGATCTTTTCACACACTGACAGCATTTTTCAAATGTTTCGAGTTAGAAAATACAGAACTATGTATTTCAACAAATTTAATAGCTGTGCGAAGTCTCTCAATGGTAACTCACGCATTAGTAGGGCAAAACTTCAGACACTTAAAGCAGTCTGAGTAGAGAAGTAGATGTCTCATCATTACGTGCTTACCATATAGATTTTTTCGAGAAAATACAAAGTGTTCAAAAAGTCACAGTACACTCTAAAAAGGTTGAATATCTCCACCATCTTTAGACCAAATGGGCTGATTTTTTTACCACTGATAAAGGAGTATTCACAGTTCATATTCATAAGAGAAACATCATCAAAAGTTGTTTTGAAATATTTATAACTGGCTTTAACAAAAAACTTAACCTTTTACTAGCTATAAAAAAACAAGAGATCTGTTACCTTAATTAAGAATACATGGCATATAATTATTTTCAATCAATTTCTTACATCAGTGTCGCTTGATCTCATACTAATCCTACAGATACGTGTCTTTTTACTCAGTGTATCCTGAAAGCTTCAGTCTTACACGACAAGAATTTATTGATACAGCTGCATTATTGATTGTTTATAACTCATGAAAGGTTACCGTTTTTTTTTAAAAGTCGGTTATACATATTTCAAAACAACTTTTGACAATGTTTCTCTTATGAATATGACCAATGAATACTCCTGTATCAGTGGTGAAAAATCAGCCCATCTGGTCAAAATATAGTGGAGAAATTCAAGGCTTTTCGAATGTAGTGTGACTTTTGGGACACCCTGTAGTAGTATGAAATATAAAAGCTAATTTTTTTCAGGATCTTTTTGAAAACTTTACCAAAAAGTCGAATTAGAAGAGCTCTTGGGAACTTTGCGCGCTGGGACGCATTAGAGGGTCCGAGATCTTCTAGTAAGGGATATAACATCCGCAGGAAGTTCCCAAAACATTTCCAGAAATTATTCAGGAAACAGCAACCTTCTCTATGATGAATATCGAAGTCGACTTAATTTTCTTTTTAAATAATACTTATTTTTGCAATTGTCCTTGTGATTAGCCTATATATAAAATACATATTTAAGTGTTAAAAGTAGCTACCATTCCGATTTTTGTTACTATCCATCTAAATAATAAAAAAAACCGAAAATTTGATTTTTTAAATAGAACTCACTGTTCCAGTTGTTTTTGCTTTCAATCTAAATAAAAAATGGTAATACTCATATTTCAAATAAAAGATAGCGTCATGATTGCTTTTCGAGATTCACCTAAATAAAAAAAAACAATTAATTTTTTCTAATCAATACTCACGGTCAATTCACAGGATATCCAAAAAATTCAATTGAAAAAGAAACTTGAATATTTCTTTAACAGCTTAAACGATTTTCGTGAGCTTTGTAAAGTTTCATTCTATATTTACTAAAGTTTGATTTCATGTAAAATTTATCTCTAATAGGTGCGCAAAATAACTATTTACAAATGTAATGCACACAACTATCGTTGTAGAAAAAGTATATAAAAACATTATATAAAATTTATTTCGAGGTTATTATTGATTTTATTTTTCATCTGAACTAGATCTTTGGCTGATGGCTTGTAACAATTGTTGTCTACATATTTATATAGAAAACATGGGCTCATGTTACTTCCACTTATCATGATGCTTGTTGATATTGATTGTCTCTTCTATGGAGCTTGATTGGAGAAACTGACTGACTTTGAGTCTACAAGGCGGAGAATCTCCATTTCTGCCAAATAAAATAGAGCCTTTTTAGCCTAGATTTCTCTTTTCTAGACTAAAAATAGAGCTAAAACATAGTAAAATATTCTTCTCGATTAATAAGGTTTTTCGTAAAAAATAGTACGAACACTCGATTCTGTAGTATCTCACTAGAAACATTGCTTTTTTAAAGATTCCATAATAATTTCAATTGTTTCATCGATTTATGATGTCTGATAAATATTTCGCTGAGCTGAAGAATAAAACTACACATGTCGTTCAAACCGTTCGAAAATCGGCGGCTAACCACGGATCTCGTGGATGATTTTTTTAAACTCTTACAAAATTGTTAGATTTACGTGGAAATCGCATTTTCTTCGTAATGTAAACGCGTTGAAGCCATCGATGCCATCCACACCAGCTGAATTCGCTTAGGCTTCCAAAAAATAGCTATCTGTTAGATGATGTAATCAATAGAAAAAAGTGGCACATTAATATAAATCTTTTTGATTTGCAATCGAGTTTTTTAGATTGGAAATGATAATTGGATAGTAAGATCTTAAAAATAATTGATAAAAAAAAATGAGAAAACCGTTCGAATCATCAGTTTTTTTTAAAGAACTGCAGTCAACTGTCAGTTTTGATGAAAACTCGACGATAAGGGAATAATAAAATCGAATTATATTTTATATGGTGTTTTTATATACGTTTTCTAAAACGATAGCTGTGTACATTACATTTGTCAATAATTATTTTGTACACCTATCAAAAACAAATCTGATATGAAATCATACTTTATTGAATATAGAAAGAAACTATACAAAGTCCACGGAAATCGCTTAAAGTGTTAAAGAAATATCCAAGTTTCTTTTTCAATTGAACTTTTGGGACACTTTGTAGATTCGACACAGATCATAAGAGAGGACCCTGATCGGTACTTTTATTTGAAATCCTTATGCACCTATGCCGACATAGAATGTCAACAGTACACGCCGTTTCTCCAAATAAATTAGGAAAGCCAAGTATCTTGTCTCATACAATAAGATGATCTATAGAGCAGTTCAGAATATTTTTCTATGATTCTAACTTGAGATCTACTGTCGATGCGAAAACTGAGTTTCTCAGCAAGTATAATTCTGATATAGCATGCAGTAAAATATGCAGTTTTTTATTTACGACAATAAAAATAAGTCGAACAAAATTTATCTATCATAAAGCATGACAGGAAAATGTTTGAATCAGTAACATTTACGAGTGTTATATGAAAGTGGATTTAAATGACTGAATGATATGCAAACTATCTCGGAACACTATAGAACGTCATAGAATACATACATACATAAAAGCAGAATTCTTAAACAGCAAAATAGCTGCGTTTTCATTAGTGAGAATGAACTGTTTGAAAGGATCATCAAAACATGCTATGATTGGTAGCGTTAGATGATAGAAGGATCATAGCAAAACAAGACAGCGAAGTCATCGATTTAATAAAAGTATAGGATTTTCTGATGAAGTGCGAAATAGGAGGAAACTAACTGATATACTGTCAATCGAGGCTTTCGAGAAATATAGCGAAAGTAATATTTTGACCAAGGGGGAAACAGCTGATTCCAAGATTCTAGGATTCCATTAATTTCAAAAGATTCTGCGAGATTCCAAGGATTCCAACTGATTCTGCTGCTCGGAATCAACTATTTTCTTCTTGGGTTTTCTTCATTATTGTAAGGACGATAGATGATATTGTTCGTGTCGTTTATAGATTTTCAATGGCCCTCTATAATTCGCCTCGAACAATCTAATCTTGTCTTCTAACAATAGGAGGGAACTAGATATAGGAGGAAGAGAGGGGAGGGGTACGATGGGTTTTTTGGGTAATCCTTTTCCCCACTGTTTTAAGGGTGACACATAATGTTGTCTAAGTTGAATACAGATTTTAAAGGTCCCCTTTAAATTGCTCCGAACAACCCAATGTGGTTTTCTAACAATAGGAAAGAATTGGATATAGAACGGGAGAGGAAGGGGAAGGAGGAGAAAGATGGGTTTGGCGGGCGTGATCTTCTTCAGTACAGAAATGGCATCAGATACAGATGTTCGCGACGAATTAAAGGAGGCTCTTCAAAACCTATAATCGACGCAAACAACATTATGTTTTATCCTTACACAAGCGGGAAAAAAGATCACCCAAAAAACCTGTCCTTTCACCGTCCCTCTATATTATTCTCCGCTATCGTTAGAAGACAACATTATGTTGTTCGGAGCGATCTATAGAGGTCCCTTGAAAATCTCTAATCGACACGGATAAAACTATATGTTACCCTTAAAATAGTGGAAAAGTCACAACCGAAAAAACCGACCTATTTCTTCGACTCTCTTTCATTTCTTCTTTCTCACTCTCTCCTTTCTCTTTCTTCGCTATCCTAAGGGTTCCAGGATAAGATAATAGAAATGTATTAACAGATATCAAGCTACCCAATGATTGAATAAATCATCGATCAGCTATTTATGTACACAGTCAAACTAGTACCAGATCTCCAGTTCTAAATTGGCACTAGTGTATACCAGAGCTGCTGACCTGGTAGACAGCAGACGAAGTTGGATTTCTAAATTTTTGCCTGACCTGATCGGGCTAGAAAATTCTTGACCTGGTCTGCAAACTAAATTTCTTAACTTGGATATAGTTTAATACTAGCATTTACAGTATTCACTTCTTAGAATAAGACGACTACATGAGTCGATGTTTAGAATTTTTCAACCTCTTTTTGAATCTTCTCCTTTCATGATACGCAGCTACAATTATTTCTAGCATTTTTTGTGCAAAAACTATTTAAAATTCTTCTTACTTATTTAATCTTATACTAAGGAAAATTGCGTTATCCAGTTAAAGAATTTCATAGTTTCAGGAGCTAATCTAAACTAGAATCGAATTAAGAGTTCCATTTAATGAAAATGATGAAGAATTAAGTTCTGTCCACTCTTAAAAATAACATGTGAATAAAAGTCATCGAACCATAAGATTAGTAGAAGATTTTAAGCTAATTGTGAGAAGTTCTCATTCGTACGTATTTAAAATTGAAGAGACCTTACATATCAGCAAGTATTCAAAATAATCGATACTTTTCATATATACGTAGTTATAACTTCATTCCAAAAACATTCAAATATGTCTACATAAATCCCTAAATTTCAACATCTACTTGATTGATTACATGTGTGAAAGTGTTTGATTTCAGAACTCAGACCCACATTCAGGTGTCAAAGATTTTCATAAAAACGATCTTAAAATTGGTTCATGAGTGCTCGTGATTGAGAATTGACATAGTATAATCTATTGCTCCCATGAAAACAAGTCGGATCACACACTACAACGTATACAATGAAGTAATCCTAATTTGTAGATTTTGTAATAATTAAAAGTCTGAAACATCAGTTCACCTGGTTTAGCCTGCAAGCCAGGCTGAGCTGCAGGCTGACTTTCGAAATTTGGCCTGGCCTGTCACGCAGATCATACTAGCTAGGTCAGACTAAAAAAGGTGGCCTGTTTGCAACTCTGGTGCATTTCTAATCCGAGTGATTCTACAATGATTTCAAGTGATTTCAGGCAATTCCATGTAATTCTGTCGGCTGGAATCAGCTACTTCTCTGAGCATCTAATAATAGTCGATTTTATTTGTGTAATTATATAAGTTATTTCCTGTTTGTACGTCTGATTTCCACTGACCCCATTGACTGATTCCTCTGACTGATTCCAAAAGATTCCGTTGATTCCAAGGGATTCCATTGATTCCAATGGCACAGAATCAGTTGTTTCCCCCCTGATTTTGACACTATTCGAAATCATATATATATAGAAAAGAGAAGAGTAATTGTGAAAATCGAGAAAAGTTAACTGATGAGATTTTTTTCAAGATGCCACACTTTATGCAATCTTTGTCACTTGCACTCCGTGACATGATCGGTATACTATAGATGTTACTCGTTGTATCGATTACAGTTCTCTGAGTCATTGTGTATTGGCATTTCAAAAACTAACTGAGTAATAATTTCTCTGGATACAATAGTTGAAAATAAGCCGTCTTCGATGATCTCGCACACTTTTTGCACGTCCAAATCATATTGTACGTGGCTACTAATGAATTAATATCTGAGAGCAGATGTTCCCAACAGCAATACTGGATGAAGACGAGAAGTGATAATGAATCGAGCTGCTTCTTCATGACACTTGATAAATTTTTTGGATATCAGTTGAAAAATGACGACTACACAGAAATTTTTTTTCTACTTTTGAAGATGATCGTTTCCGATCTCTCGATATACTAATTGATATGACCTACACTTTTCTAGCTAACTGTTGTCATTGATGTCTATTCATAGACATCATTACAACTAAAAACTCAACCATTCAATTTTTTACTGCTACCTTAATGTCATTGAACAGAGTATCCAAAATAATCATAACTCAAGAAGAGAGGTGAAGAAACACAAATTGTCTTACGAGGGAACGTTCTCTCGTTAGCTCATTTCATCTCAGTAAGATATAGTTTCGTCAAAAAAATTATTATTTCATAATTTTCTGATGTCGAACAAATATATTTCGCCCAAATATGTGAAACCATAGACAAAACTGAAAATCATTTGCATCGAAAATATTCATACTCTGCTGTAGGAAGCCTAGATAAAATTTCACATCTACAAACGAAGAAAAACTTTCTACATTTGAATGTTTTTCATATCGGTTTTTTTTCAAAACTCTTTCAAAAGAAATAGATAAATTCGCGATGCGACATATTTCAATAACTTTTTCTCCTAAAGGTCGAAAAGAGGACAAAAAAGCTTCGATGTGTATTTGCCATGTTGAAGCCCTATGACATTTTTACTTGCTTAGACCGCAATGCAGAGAACGATAAGTGTAGAGCTTTGATCAAGGCTCCAAGGGTCTGAAGTTATTCTATAGACTATTTTAAAAAGTATGACTAGCAAACATGTTTCAGGTGTTAGATCTGCAAGTATCTGTCACAGGCAGAATTACACTTTAGGCAAAATTAAACTTAGAAAGAATTCGTTTTGAATTAGGCGCAAAATTACGAAATAGTCTTCTTTTTTTTCAAAATAACTTTTAATTATCATTTACATGAAGAAATCAAGATACATATCTATATTTTATCATTGGAAAGATTATTCATTTTCACTTAATCTTGAAGCTGTGTGTTGCATCAATTACTTATGCGTCGACTTCGTGAAATGATTCTCGAAAACATTTTCATGAACAAGCTAAGTAGGTTTTTGAATTTTTTAATATGTCGAGAAAGCAGCTATCATTTTACTACAAACAATATGTGAGCTGAAGAATTCTCCGCTTTTTGAAGTTGGAAAATAATTGAACAAAACTTAACAGCACAATATATTTATAACTTGTATATGACATATGAACTACGTTGAATTAGAAAATTAATAGACACCAGTAAAAAAATGCTCTTCAAAAAGCGTAAACTTAATGATCCTTTTTTTTATGGTCGGGTAGGGGTTGACAAAGTGTATTTATATTGAATATAGTGGCGAAATCTACATATTCTTAAATTTTAGTTAGACTTAAATTAAGCTGAAACGTAACTTAATTTGAATATTAAAATCAATTACATCTTCTTGTGGTTTTCGATTTTTTTAAATTTACAAATCTTTTAACAACTACGTTTAGCTTTGCCTGACATATGTCCATATAAAAGAATTGGAAACAGAAAAAATAATGTGCGTTAGTTTTTACAGATATTCAACAAATAATAAATAGGTGTTTGCTACTCAAATAAAAATTTGAAACAGTGGCTTTGATAATCGTTTTAATATACTGTAGTATTCGCACAAGTGTTCTGATTGGGTATAATTTTATCGTCAAAAAACTTGTGCAGTCCGCTCAACATATTAAGCACATTTATTCAATGATTAAGAAAACGTTGAGGTTGCACAAAAAAGTTGTACGCTGATACGTATATCGACTTAATAGTTTAGGCAAAACTATTGCATCGACAGTTTTCTGTAGAAACTCTGCATGGTTAGAGATATATCTATATTATCATATCATGTATGTGTTCTTCCTTAACTATTGTCTCATCGTAGATTGAAATGGACCCTATAGGTGATAATGGTGAATTGATCGATTGCTCGCCTCCTAAGGATGATGTTTTCGTCGATACAAATGAGGAAGCAAATCCAATTTCAAATGCACAAAATGTAAGAAACGTTCAGGACAACACCACCGATCGAATAAACAATAACACGATTCAACAGACTAAGTATGACTTTTTCTTTTGATATCAAATATGGTCGTTGTTATTCTTTCCTAGAAAATCTTGTTGCTGGTCAATACTGAATTTAAGTACGAAACCTGTCTTTGTATTGCCTATGATTACAAGTATAGCTATGACCATTGGTATACTGGTAGTTTGTTTTACTGCATCAAAATCATCAGGTATGTCTTTGTTACTTTGCATCCTTCGTATTCAATACGATAAAAATCCATAGTTAATTCGATTCTGTTGTACTAGTATTGTGAGTTTTGGTTAAAAAAATTCAAACTGTGATAAAATATTTGATATCGATATGTTCGAAGCAAATCATTAAGCGAGAACAGATTAAAAGCATTACAACTGCTTCACTTTTCGATTTCAAATTAGTAGTGACGAATGCGAGCCAATCAAGATGATTATCACTAGTAGATCTAATACTTTGTCCATAAGTCGGACCCTTTCGTTTAACTTATTGCTAGGAATTATAGATTAAAAAAGCATTTCAGAAATAATCATCCCATTGCCGCTTTGTTCTAGAGAAAGAAGGATAATGAGTTTTTCTAAGGCGGAGATTGTTGTGTTTTCTATATATACATTTTTTCATATCTCAATAAAGCAACAATTTCATGGTCTGATTTTTGACAAACTGATATTACACATTGTTACTTTTTGTAGAAAGATCAATTTTATCTCATTCAATGTTTTTGAATCACTTCTTCTATTATTTTTGGTAGTATTTTGTCACATCTCTAAATGGAAACAGCAGCTTATTCTAGATTTCTTTTTCTCTATTTCATCGATATGTTCTTGGATATAATAGAAATGCGACAGAATAAGAGAAAATACAAGTGATTTTTTCATAGAACATGATGAAAGTAAATATTTCTTTTCTACGGTACACATCTTCTTTACATTTTCTCACTTTATGTTGCCTGTAGAGGACAGTAAGCATTATATATGTTCCATCTATATCTTCTTTCGTTCTGCTATTATGTCTGAATGCATATACGTCCTCTTTTCTAGCATGTTTCGATACATTCGTTCTCTTTTCTCGGTCTTTCTGTATGATTCATGTGTGTTCTCCCTTGTATTGTCCAATGCGTTCTCATTTCCTTATTATGTTCCTTGAAACTATAAAGCTTTGTATGTGCGCCATCAAATAATAATTCTTTCTGACTAATAACTAGCTAGTAATCGACTATCTAAAATCTGACATCAGACAAATTATCCTATAATTCACTATCTTCAATCAGTTCTAGCAAAGAATAAATTGTATTTAATCTTTATAAATGTTTTGATTATATTTTGAAAAGAACGTCTCATATATTTGAAACGGAAATGATATTGAGTCATGATGACGAATTAGATGATCATAAGTTAGAAGACCTATTACAATTAGTATCCACATAGCACTATATTGGTGGATATAGTGTAGATGTTGGAAGGTGAATGTTTCTCTAATCTAACCTCACACTCACACCTGTTTCTAACTTTTCGACCTATGACCGAACACACGTGGCTCAATAATTTTTTTTGGAAGTTGATTTGGATCTATTTCAGAGTGTTAAAAACTTTTGTTTCACATTTCAAACAAATGTATGCCATGAAAAAGTTGTATTGATGGGTCAATGATTCGTTGATCTTGGTACAACTAGAACTGTGGTTCACTCATTTTTCCGAATTATCATTATCATTAGATTGATCAATTATTTTCTTGATCTTTTGTTTCATTCTCATTTCCTGTATCATTTTGATTTTCTCATTAAGTAAAAAAAGTTAGCTAAAGATCTTCTATTTTTAGATGACAAGAAACGATACGTAAGATGAGTTTCTAAAAAGCCAGTTTGTGAAAAAATTACTTTATTGAGATATGGACAATAGAACGAATCCTTTTGAAGTCTTTTTTTCTACTCTGTGTGTTCTACTAATGAAAAAACTATTAGGTCAAACAGAGGGTATTTAGAAATATGATATTCGAGTGAGGGAATATTGGTCAGTTTGATTTTTGTCGCAAAGAAAGTCAGTTTTATGGAAACCACAATTTTCTATAAACTTTGATCATACGTCTGTAGAGTCGAGGAATCCGCAGGAGAGGTGCATAAAGAAGACAAACCGGTTGACTTCGGAACTGTCAAAAGAAGTGTATATTTCAATGCAGAATAAGCTAACAAATCATTTGATACCACATTCAAACTATTTGAGAAATAATCTAATGACTTCTGACGCAGAGTGCTATACCATATTTTCACTGCATTCAGGTGGTTGTATACTAGCAATAAGTTTGTCAAAGCATCTAATAGTAAATATAAGCTTAATTTATGGTAGTCCAACAGTGTTTCTATCGATATTTCAGGTGTGTCATGAGGGTTTAGGCGTCTCAATTGCTTTCGAAGTGGCTTTTACGATGGGGTGATGCAGTTTTGAATGATTGCACGTTAATGTAGTTTTTTTTCCGGAATTGATCTACGATGATTAGTGAAGTTTTGTCATCTGTATATTTATGATATTCACAAGAAAATTGTGCCGATGTGTAGTCTGTCAAAAACTGCATCAAACTCTTAAGAGAAATACTATTAGTTCATTATAAATTCATCTTATGTTTCCTATTTCTGGATGATTCATATGAGAATTTGTGCAGAATTTGCTACTCTTTCAAATGAAGCTATTTATGGGCAGATGAACAAATGTTTTGGCAAACTTATTGTTAGTATATGGCCATCTGAATGCAGTAAAAATGTGGTATAGTAATCTGCATCAGAAGCCATCGAATCGCTTCCTAAATAATTTGAACGTTGCATCAAACGATTCGTCGTCTCATTCTGCATTGAAATATATACTCGTTTTGAAAATTCTGAGATGAGCCGATTTGTCTTCTTATGTGTCCCCCTCCTTCATTGATAACTTCTCGAAATGTGTAGCCTTAAGATTTGCACTCTGGAGAGGCTATTTCTTGAAAATAACGATACTAGTAACTGTGAGCAACCATGAATGGATTTGAACTCTTCACCCCTCGAAATCATTTGATCAAACTTCAAACATATAGCTGTTGTCGTAAAATAAGCTTTCTTGGAGTGGAAAATTAAGCGGACATATTTTCCTTTATTCAATAAGATATCTTATCAGCAGCGGTAATTTGTCTCCTTAGTCCTCTGATTAAATACAAAGTGTTTATTAATTACTGACAAATATTACTTACCACTTACTGTTACATAATAATCGATACCACCAAATATTTACCTAACCAGTGATAAGTGATAAAGATTATGATGCAACAATAAATAACCCATGATTATGCTAAGCATATATGACTGCTATATAGGAGATTTTTCAATCATAAAAACATTTAGTATTACTTTGGTAAGTGGAAGTCTAAGTAACAGTAAACATGACACTTCCAAGGATATTAGTTGATGAATTTTCTCCGTTAATGGTTTTTTTTGTAAGTTATACCTCTTATATTCATATCTCGTAGTAGACCACCGTGTACTAAAAAGTTAAATGATGATATTTCGGCTTAATATTTTCCTTCCGTATATCTCTCATATTTATCAGAATATCATGAATGTTCCAGTGTTAATCCTTCGAACTAGATCATCTGAAGAAGGTATACCTTTTTCGTTGAAACTTTCGAAATATACTGGAAACTACATCGCTGTGATGATTTAGATCTAGCAATAAATGAATCCAAGGATAATAAACGAGAATGTTGGAGTGATCTCGTCATTTAGAAAAATAGAAACCATCATATAGCTGTAGAGACCATATTATAACAAATGCAGTACGATCAGACAATAGGAAATCACAGGTCCACATAGACAATATCGAAAATGAATAATCGCTCAATTCGTCAAGCAAATACTATCAATAAAACTCTGTTGAACTATCCGTTGTATATTCCCAGATACAAGCAAAAAACTTACCCTATCCTGACTGTTACTGTTGATTATCGATGCAAAACATTTCGAAATGCTTTAGAATTTTTGCCACTACGGTATATTTGTGCCCGATGACATATCATGTCATGGAACAACCTGTAAGATAGAGATGATAGTGGTTTTGGTCATATAGGTAGGATCAGTCTATGATCCTTACTAAATAATATTAGTTGTGATATTTGCTATTTAAAAGTCACTATACGCTTCGTGAACGAATTGTCAAGGAAATGAAAGAGAGCGTACAATGATTAATCTGAATGATGAGTTTCGTGAGATTCAACGAGGTTCTGTTGAAAAGTACTGGTTTCCATCTCGATCTGATTACTATCATCCGACAAATTTCAATAGAATATCATCGAAATTATGGGAATTTGATATAATCTATTAGGGATAGTTGAACCATAATAGCTGATTAGTCTCTATTTCTTTATTCTTGTGTTACTTAGTTCCAAAATGTAAACTTAATTTTAAAGCAACGGCCCGAAATCCAATTGACTATAAGTATGATCCACGATCTGTCGCCATGGGCGACTTTAATAACGATACCTGGCTGGATATTGTCGTTACCAATTATGCTGCTGACAATATAGCTATATATTTTGGATATGGCAATGGCACTGTAACAAGTCCAGTCAAGTATTTCACCGGTTCTGGCTCTGCTCCGGGCATGGTTGCTGTTGGTGATTTCGACAACGATCATCGACTGGATCTCGCTATTGCAAACTTCGGTACAAACAGCGTCGGTGTGCTTCTTAGATTCCAAAATGGGTCTTTTATGAGCCAAACCGTGCTTTCAGTTGCATCATCTCGCCCCGTTTGGATCCATGTAGTAGATCTTAACAATGACGCAGCACTAGATATTGTGACTGCTAACTACGGCACACACAGTATAAGCATATTTTTCGGATATGAAAATGGGAGCTTTTCAAGGCCGAGCACGTATCCTACGGGTTATGATTCTTTTCCATTTGCCGTTGTCAGTGGCGATTTCAACAACGACAAACAGATGGACCTTGCTATCGCCAATTATGGCACCAGCAATGTCGGTATAATGTTTGGAACTGGTAACAGCACTTTTGCAAATCAAATCACGTTCTCAACTGGTCCGAATTCCCATCCATACTCGCTTGTTGTTGGTCATTTAAACGAAGACACCATACTAGATATTGCCGTTGCGAACTATGGAAATAATAATGTAGGTGTGCTTCTGGGTCACGGCAACGGAACTTTTATGAGCCAAATGACATATTCCCTCAGTGCTGCATCTCCATATTCTATTGGCATTGGTGACTTCAACAAC